TGTAGGGAACTTGGAAATCTTACCTATTTTTGTGCAAATTCATCGACTGATCTTATTTATGAGTAGATTTTTTCAGATGTGGGCTTGGGGTGGAGCTTCGCTTTTACTGTCAACTTTGCCTGTATTGTGATACTTTGGGCCAAGACTACGAAATTATCCCCCCAGCTACGTTTCTGCAGTGATTCCTTCAGCATCTCTCAGCATGAAGTCTGCAGGGCACCAGAGCAGACAGATGAACCAGATGTAGTTGTAGCACGAGGAGGAGCGGTGGCATATGCTTTCTGGGAAGATGCTACAGTCTCACCTTTCTCCTTTAAGGTGGTTAGATATGCTGGCAAGCCACCAGCTCGTGGGGCCTCCAGAGCCATGCCTGGCTCTTAGCCGGAGTGTTTATGCAGTTCAGAACTAAGCCAAAGAGCTGCTGACCTCTGTGAAGGGCACAGAGTCTTCCTCAGTGCATTCAGAGGAAGCTTTCCCATGCCCTGAGACAGGAGGTGAATCTTTGACCGGGGCTGATGCTGAAGTACCCCAGTCTCACATGACATTTGGGGCCAGGTTCTTCTTTACGTGGAACGGGCATTGTGCATTCATTAAAACTGTTTCTAAATCTCCGTGCTCTCTGAGACAGAAATCAAGCTGTTTGTCAAAAATAGATTTTTTTTTTTTTCTATTTGCTCTCATTTCTTGGGAGCTGAAGGTAGCACCAAGCCTGGCTAACACGGCTTCGTGCTTCCATCCTCTTGGAAAACCTCTTGCAGTGTTTTACGTAACTCTTCCTGCAGCGTTGACTCCTGTGCAGAGGCTGTAGCTGTGCGAGGGAGGGTGGATGTGCTGTTTTATCTTCTCCTCGGCAGGCTGGAGTTACGGAAGCGCTTTCCAATCCTGGAGTGCTCAGCCAAAAGTGGATGGAAAAGGAGGGGAGATAAGAGGGCTCAGATCAATTGCCCTGAGTGCCAGTAAGAGGAAGGGAGATGACGACCCCTGGGGCCTAATTAGCACGCTGTGTAGACATTTGGTGTCGTGAACGATGAGCCTATTATTATTGGGCTTCATAATTAATAGATAATGAATAATTAATGAAGCATCATTTAACTGTAGTCTGGACTTACATTCAGATGGAGGGTTTTGCAGTCATTAGGAAGAAATCCTTTTCCTTGTATTGAAAAATGCAACGCGCTTTCAAGTGCGGTTGTGTGTCTTCTTTTAATGCCTTAAATATTTAACTGCTGGGATCTGAGCTCTGAGGTGCCTTGGAGGGGAGCTGCCAGCCCTGCTCAATATAGATGAACCCAGTTTGCAAGGCAATCTCCGTTGTAAATCTCTTTTTTTGCAGCCCCAGCAGCGTTTCTATTACTTTTTCATGGCGCAGCAGTTACGAATGGGCTTCCTTTTCCCCCCCTCTCTCTTTCCTTTAACTTACCCTTTGAACTCAGAGTGCCCCGTGGCCATTTTAAATCAGTAGGTGCCCTGCCCAGGCATTATTAGATGAATATCTAATTTCAGAGCTTATCTGATAAAACAGCAAAAAGCATTCCAAAGGAGGAGCTTCCAAAAGGGGGTGCTGCTGATAAAGGAGGATACATCAATGGGCTTGTCAAGCAGAGACTTAAAATGCCCCCTCTTTGAAAGCAGGGGCCACTTTTCAGCAATGCTGCTCGTGAGCCTGTAGATGAGAGACTAAAGTCTCCTTGGGGAATGGCGACTTCCAAAAGCAGCATCATGCTCGTGGCTTTATTCTAACGTGGTCATTTGCTTTTCCTTTTGAATGAAGTTGCTGTTTACATAGTAATCAGCAGACACCGACGTGCACAGATTGGACAATATGCTGACAGGCTCAGGTCTGCTGGGGACTCAGTTGTGAATAATTAAGTGTCGCTCTTTGCGATGGCTGGGGTTCATGAAACCTTAGGAGGAGAATTAATCTTAAGGAGGAAGGAGTTTTAAAGCCTGGTGTAGCGGATCGCCGCGCAGCGTGACCTCCGAGGGCGTGAGACGTGGTTTGCGAGTCTGCCAGCGCGATGTAGGCAGAGCCTTGGGCCACCTCCGAGCTGGCTGGCAAAGGAGGTGTGACCCAGTGGCTTTCCAGCTCCTGTGGTGGTTCTTCAGTTGAGTGTCTCAATGCTGGAACTGGGAAATGAGTGTAAAACTTCACATGGGGATCTTGAGACAGGGTTTCACTGGTCTTAGCAGCTGTCTCAGATTTTTGAAAGTCTTTTAACCTGTGCTTGTTACAGTTCAGGACCTGAAGGGTCTTGGTTATGAAAAAGGGAAACCGGTTGGTTTGGTGGGTGTGACGGAGCTCTCCGAAGCCCAGAAGAAACAGCTGAAGGAGCAGCAGGAGGTAATGCCCTGAAATTATTTCTGAATTCGTATCGTGTTGCAGCATGGCTGGGTTAGATGGGAAAACGGAGGTGGAGGTAGCAAAGGAACTTTCCCAGTGGCCCAGAAATAAACCTCTAGGATTTGTGCTGAATGCCTGAGAACCATGTGATGCTGCAGTCAGCAGAAATATCCGAGGACTTTGGGGAATATGAATTAAGCCAGCCAATTGCTGTCCTACCAGACTAAAACCCCAAATCTATAAGGTCTGTTGTGTCACATCTGCAGCTGGTTACGTATTGCTGCAGCCACAGGGAGAAGGTGAGTGGCTACTCAGAGGCTTTGGGGAAACGAGAGCAAAATTGGCTTTTGCCAGAAGGTGAGGGTGATGTTTGAACTGCGTGGGGATGCTCAGCTGGCAGCGGTCCTCGGTGTTAATATCAAGGTACTTCTGTTGGAGGAACGAGCACATAATGCTCCTGTTTGAGCCGAGAAACGAGTGGCTCAGATCGAGCAACAGCAGTGCCTGTTGGGATTTGTAGTTGGCACAACCTGGATGCTGTGTGGCACCAGGGTGGGCGCGGGCTCCGCTGCCAGTGAGCGGCTTGTCTTGCTCAGCGCGCTGTTGCGTCCCTTCCCTAGATGCAGCAGATGTATGACATGATCATGAAGCACAAGCGAGCCATGCAGGAGATGCAGATGATGTGGGAGAAGGCAATTCAGCAGCACCAGCATGGCTATGACAGCGATGAAGAGGTGGACAGTGAGCTGGGCACGTGGGAGCACCAGCTTCGACGCATGGAGATGGACAAGACGCGAGGTGCGTGGGGAGCGAACGTCCCGCTCCGTGTTTGTGCAAAGGCCTCTGGAGGGAGATGTCTGGGATCACGTCGTGGGCTTGGGAGTTGCAGGGTCACTTTTTCCTGGCCTGTGCTGTGGCTTCTGCCTGTGGAGTGGAGATAATAACCGTCTGTTGCTGTGAGGTTTCACGCTTCGCAAAACCTCTGCATGTCCAAGGCAAAGAGCGCTACGTGATCGCTGTTTTCTCTCGTCTGTGTCTTGGGCAGAGTGGGCTGAGCAGCTGACCCAGATGGGCAGAGGGAAACATTTCATTGGAGACTTTCTGCCACCTGACGAGCTGGAGAAATTCATGGAGACGTTCAAGGCATTGAAGGTGAAAATAGCAGAGACATCCCAGGGCTCTGGCAATGCTTCAGACTTGTCCCGTAGCGGCGAGGGAAAGATCTCGAGCGTGCTCAGCCCTCTGTCGCAGCAGTTAGCTACCTTGCAGCCTCAAGGTGCTCCTGTAGGGAACATGGGGTTAGTTTCTTGCTCTTTGTAGAGGGAATGGCTGTAGCAAATTAGAGAACAGACTGTTGGGACAGTTTGGGGTTAGCTGACATTACAGACGAGCCTCTCAGACTCCCCACCATTTGTCTGCTATCCCTGTTTAGGATAAGTGGTTGCTGATGCCAAGCAAGGAAAATTTGAATTTTTATCCAGACGACTGCAGTAAAGTGAAAATATAAACCCTACAAAAAGCTTATGCAAAGCACTTCAATACCTGCCAATTCTTCCTAAACTGTAGAACTTCTTGATGCTGGCGCATCCCTCGTAGTGTTTTCATGTAACCAGCATGGGGTCTGATGTTCCCTGGAGATCCTGGCTTAAATGAGAACTGTATCTGAAGCTTGATTCAGTGAGCAACTTTAAATTCAGGAGCTAAATATTTCTTAGCTTAATCTCACAGTAGCATTCCCTGCTTCTTGCAGATTATGTTACAGGGCTGTGCAGTGCTTTATCATTTACCCATTTTCTTCTCTGTGGTGGTGCAGAACTGGAATCCCAAGAAATCGGGCTAGTTATTAATTGTTTGCAAGAACCATCCTAACTTTGAGTAGCTGAAGCTGCCTTTCCCCTCCTCTGACCCACAAAGATAGGTGCATATGAAAAATAACCAACGCCACCTTTTGTATCTCTGCAGGAAGGACGTGAGCCGGATTATTCCGAATACAAAGAGTTCAAACTGACTGTGGAAAACATAGGTTATCAAATGCTAATGAAGATGGGCTGGAAGGAAGGCGAGGGACTTGGCTCAGATGGACAGGGGATTAAAAACCCAGTCAGCAAGTAAGCAGAGTTCTTCTTCTATTGATTTAGTCCTTTCCTCTTGGGCTGATAATTGATGCTCCTACCCCAGCCTGCTGGAAGCAGCCGCGATGAATGTGACTGTAATTCATCACTCCGGCAGAATATGGAATCCTTGCAGCAAAGGAGGAAAATCGTTTCTGGTTTCTTTGGGGTTCCCTCCCCCCAGGGCCTGGGTTTGTTACTTTAGCTCAGGCAGGAGGTGCGATGCGAGCCAAGTGTTTCTACTCTCAATTCCCATAGTGCCTTCTCCTGAGGGGTGCCCCTTCTCCTGAGGGGTGCCCCTTCTCCCCAGTTTCCCCATCTATAAAATGAAGATAACATGTGTGAGGATGAAGTCGTGTCTTTCAGGTCATACTGAAGTATTAAAGATGCCTTTTGCATCCGAAGCACTGTTGGTGCTGGCGAGTCCCTGGCGTACTGTGGCTGAAAGGGGATTACCAGTGTTTGCTGCTGCTGGACCTGGGTTTGAAAGATGTTTCAGTGCAGATCAGAGTGCTTTGTGTGTGATCGTGCAACTGTCTTGATGTCACTCTTTTGCACAGAAGTTTTCTGATTTGATCACACTTTGTAAGATAAAGCTTTATGAGAGTTCTATCCAAAAATAGATGAGCATCTCTTTTTAGGTGGATCATCTGTTGGTAACATATGCTGAAGTTCAAAACCAAATATTGGGGATAGGAAATACTCTGAATTGTTTTTTTAGCGTTAGGTCCTTTTAGAAGTAACAGTTTTTTGTTACTGCACAATAGAAAACATCTCTACAAAGCACTTTCTGCTCGTCTTTCGCGAGAAGATCTCTGGCAACGTGCTGGTTGGTCCAAAGAAGTCCTGTGGTAAAAGATCACTGGGATCAGAACAGCAAGGCTTGCCAACAAGAGGGGGAAGGCAGTTGCTGTCCACCACAGGGGTGTGATTTGCTTGGGCTCCACCATCTCTGATGTTCTTAGAATGGATATGAAGGTGCTGCTGCAGATGGAAGGGAATTCCTTCTGCTTTTGGGCTCTTCTGGAGTGAAGGAGCAGGAGACAGGCACGCTGCTGCACCATTCTGTGTGCCTCCAGCCAGTGAGG